TCCTTGTTAATTCTCTTTCCCTCGGTTGCAGTACCCAAAATATCTTCCTCCGTCAATTCAGCTTTTGATCAACAGAAAGACTATTGAGTCGGTAGAGAATGGATGATGACATACACTTCATTCAAAGCATATAAACTTGTATACATGACTAACTTACCTCTTCCATCCAGAAATTTACGAAACAAAAAGAGTGAAAAGGTCAAAAGCACACCTAAAGTATCCCTGATTTTTAGTATACCTCAACTATTAGGTGTGTGAGTTTTCTACCTCATGAACTATCATCAACGACTGTTTATCAAAACATAACTTAACTATCAGCTGTTTCACTCTTCCTACCTGAAATATCACCTTAACGAAAAAATGCACTTCAATTTTTCAATCGAATATCTCTTCAGGGATACACATTAGATTCATTTTCTTTTTTTGGTACAATGGAAAATCTACACACAATATTCATTGAATACATCAAAACATTACATAACTTGATATATCATCAATATTCATTATATTACATTTCCTAAAGTTAATAAAGGAACAAAAAGCCATAAGCTGCAGTTTCTGTTATTGAAAGATTTCTAGCTCTTCTCAATCAATCTTGCCATAACTTCTTCTTCCAGGACACCAGCTGCTCCTCACTGTAATCCAAATATCTTAGTTAAACGTCAACTGAGGCTGATCCTTTTAAGAATCTTCTACTTATATAAATTATTGGAAATGAAAAACTTATTAGTATAAACTATAGAGCATCAATTAGTAAAAGAATAAGATATTAATAGCTACAATAAACTAAAACATCATTGTAGAATTTACCTCAAGTTCTGAAATCAAAACTTATAACTTGTCTAGAAGTGATTATTTCTTCTTCTGTTATTCCTTTGCCTTCCCTGCTTCTTTCTCCTTCCCATCATTATTTTGTGCTCCAGCTCTACAATGATTCTTGCAAGCCATATCGGAGTTCCAGTTGAGAACATGAAATATATAATCGATAATCCAATACATAGTCCACTTCCATACCTCATAAGAGCAGCTTTCCAAAAATCATTATAACTTGTCTAGAAGTGATTATTTCTTCTTCTGTTATTCCTTTGCCTTCCCTGCTTCTTTCTCCTTCCCATCATTATTTTGTGCTCCAGCTCTACAATGATTCTTGCAAGCCATATCGGAGTTCCAGTTGAGAAC